GAAATCATATAAGGCCAACAGTTTCTCTTGATCCTTTAAGATTTCAGAAAGTGTCTCTTCATTGAATTTCAGTACTTTTAAATTGTTCTTAAGCTGATTTCTATCCATATGTTCCATGTGTTCATGTGTATGGGATAAAATTAGGGGGAAAAAACATGAAAATCGAAGAAGGATACATGTAAAAGGAACAATTTTTCATCCACATTCCTGTTCCAGCTGGTTACAGGTTGATCCCATTAGATGTCATTTTCTGTCAATGATCAAGGCATACAAGTTCTCAGTAAACATCCAAAAAATATTGAGAGTTGTGGGCACACTAAACACTGACGATTTCTTCGCAATGAACTTTCCGGAAGATCAACTGTGAGCTTTCAAAAAATAATCCGAAAGATTTCCGGGAAACAAACGGTATGTTGTATGAAACTTTTTTGGCGTCCGTTATATGAGGCACAATTGTACTGTAAATTACTTTTCTTTCTACATATATTTTCCATTCCTGGTATTCTTTTTTTTTTTTTTTTTCGAGAAAGGCCGAAGGAAAGATCTCAATAAATCTATGCGTCCGAGGCCATGTGTCAAACGACTCCTTGCAATTTCGGAACATTTTGAAGGCCTCTTTCATTTGGGAGGCCAAAAGGCCGACGAAACGGGGTTCACACGGGGTTCTGCCTTTGGCTCAGACCCGACCTACGGATGCCTACATTATTTATGTTACAAAAATAAACTGTAGTGTACTTTTTCTCTTTTCCTGAAACTGGTCTTGTTCGTTCTCGGTCGAGCTAATTAGGTTTCCTCAACGAGCAATAAAAACTGCTGGTATAGTCGCATTGTTTTCTTGTTTCTGGGCTTCTTGCTTAACGGGAAGTGGACAATAAATGACGTTTTCAATGGGAGCGTAATTTCAGGAAAAATTGCATGTTATGCTTTTTGTGATTTTTAAAAATCTTTCTTCCTGGGTGGGTTTCGTTTTTATGACTATCAAAATTCAGAGACACTTTTGGGTACACAAAAAATAAATACAGATAGTAGTGTACCCCGAATGCGTCGGAATATATGTCGGTTTGCTATTAAGGAAATACAGTGTTGAAAATAATTTTGTGTGCAGCAGGTAGCTGACTTTTCTCTAAATTAATTAATAAAGCCATTTTTATCATAGCAAATGGCTTATTTTCTATTCGACGAAAATTTTCACTTGAAACTGAATGGATGTTCAGTGAGACTATAGAACCTTTCTTGAGAAAATTTTCTCACAGCAGTTGTTTACTTTACAGACTCGTATATTTCGAACTTCAGTTCATTTATTTTGGAGTGTGAAGGTATACATAGTTTTGAAATTACTTCTTTATTCTTGAAGAGTCAAATCGAGAATGTAAAGAAGATGGACTGAAGCAGAGAAGAGACGTAATTCAGAGTTCCACGAATTTTAAATATTTTTAAATATTTTTTGGCGTTCGTCTGTTTGACATCTTTGAGTTGTGCGCATATCTTCGCTCTTCGTGATTTTAAGCGTGCTATTTGGCCGACTTCTCCTCTTCTTTTGCCATTTACAGTCGCAAAAATGAACTTCAAAGTCTGCATTTTAGTAAGGAACTGTGCCAGATTTCATTCAAGATTTCGGAAAGAATAAAAAGAAAGCATGTTTCGATTCTGGGTTAAAATCGGGCGGAATTATTTTTTCGTTTCTTCTCACGCAGCGCAACTGGGGACAGGAAGAAGAAGAAGAAGAAAAAAAAAGAGTCGGGAGTTAATGGGCAATCCACGTTGCGACGGAATTAAAGAGAGGCGAACGTTTTGAACGAGCTCGACAACCGTTAAGCAGCAGCTTTTCCTTGGCGATTCTACAAGTAAAAAGGGCGCCGCGTCGCCCTGGTAGACAAATAGATGGCGGCGGGCCGCCCTTGTGGCTTCAAACGGCGCCGCCGCGGCCCGCCACTCAAGGCGACTTTGTGTCACTCGAGATCCCTCCACACCCGGAATTACCCGATTTCTTCTTCTATTTTCTGTTCTCTTCTTCTCTCGTTCTATATATATATTTTTTTTCCCCGCCACCTTTATTGCGTTGTTTAATTTTCGCCCCTGGCGCGGATTTGAATCCCGTTACGAAATCACCTGTTAGGGAAGCCCATGCAGAAATAGGAAAAAACATCAGCATTGGCGGTTTTTACAATTAGAAGGGCTGTGACCATTTAGGATATTTAGTTTTAGGAAATAATACGAGGAAAACTTTGCTTCATTGCCTAATTTTTAGGTCAACGGGATTCATCTTCAAAATTATGAGAAATCATGGCACAGATTTTGAAGGCTGATGCAAAATTTCTTGAAGATACTGTATTTGCATTTCATCAATTAGGATTCATTTTTGAATATTTTCCGGATTTATCGATCCAACTTGCGCTTGAAGAAATTTTTGATTCGTTTTGTGAAATAAATAAATGAATTGCACGGGTTTGAATCCGATCATGAATTCCACACACCAATGAACAATTGTTTTTCTAAAATTTTCGCCGGTTTTCAAGTGCGGTGGAATTTCATCAAGTCCATACTTGTTTATTTCATTTTTTAAAGCTTTGAATAACTTCCTTCAACTCTCTAATAGTTTAGAGAAAGAGATTTTAAAAGAAACTATGTGTTGTTGAAACAATATCAGAAGATGAAAATTATAAAAAAGAATATTCTATTCAACTCTTTAAAACGGAATTCTTCTAATTGAAACTGCGAGTAACTGACAACTCTGAATCAATACGATTTTTTCTGTTGAAAACTGTCCACCTTTTATTTAGTCACGAGCATTGTACACAATATGAATAAAGTTGGCTTAGTTCGAATCCGCTTCTTTTCAGGTCTCATCTCCGTCCTATATGTTCACCAATTGAAAGATTCAGGTATCCTTGGAATTTAAAACTTTAAAAAATCGTATAATATTTAAAATATCATTCGAAATGACATTCTATGCGAAGAAAAGAAGTGAAAATTTTGACCACGTCGTTTCGTTCTTTAGTAAAAATTTATTTGTTTCATTTGACGTTGGTTAACGGATGAACTGTCCTTTTGTGGATGTTGCCGGGATTCCAAGCTGCTCGAATCTGGAAAACGTTATCTCCTTCCTTGTCTAGTAAGTTTCCAGAGTGGGCGATATTTAGTTCCGCTGTCAGTTGTTTGCGCTTTCTGTGGGTCAAGAGGGCTTTTGTGTGTCAGGGCTGAGAAAAAATGCCCAGCTGTGATACTGTTGGGACGCCGTTTTCTCTTCTTTTACTTTTATTTATTTATTTATTTATTTTCAAACCGGGATTTATGAGTTGATTTTGGGTTGTCGACACTTGATGAAGTTGACCACGGTGTCTTGTCACAGCTGGAGAGCTCAGATGAGACTCTCCTGTAACCAAGTTGCGTTGTCTACTTGTTATTTATTATTTTTTCTTCAGAATTGAAACAGCTTTGGGCATCTTACTTGATAATTTTTTTTTTAGAAAAAAAAGCTACGTCTCAGTCACTTGAGAAGAAAAATTAGGTCGAAAGATGCGGTATACTTGAAAAACAAGAAAGCATTGTTCAAACCACGTCAGTTCCAGCAATTTCAGTTGTTTCAAAATCTGAATTTAAAAATGCTGCGCGCTCCGAATATTTTATATGAATGAACAAAACACTTTATTTGCCGCTTTTCAGCGTTCACAAGGTTCAATCAAGATTTCCACGACCAAACCCTCCTTCCCACCCAACCCAAATCTACTCAATGACATTTAATCACTTCCGAGCAGGAAAGCACAATTTGTTAACAAAAATAAAAGAAAATACAATACGACATGAAATAAAACTGGACATCTGACATGTATGCTCAGCTTGTTTCTGTATGAGGTTTAGTTGAATGAACAAATGACAGAGGATCTTTGATGAGAAATCATATAAAGCCAACAGTTTATCTTGATCCTTTAAGATTTCAGAAATATAAATATTTTATATTCTACAAAATCTACACCATGTAGACCAGCGAACTATTTGGTTATTTCGCCCCTTAAAATGATCAATAATCCTATCCTTCAACCAGAAAAACACAAGAATGACATAACGGATGAAAAACATACATTCAATATATTGCATGGTTATCTTGACCAGAAAATCCCAGAAAATGTTTTCCCGCATTGATGATTAACCAATTGAAGATTGACGATTTTTTAAAAGAATTATTCCACGTTAGCGATTTCTCGCTCGAGATAATGGAACTAAATATCAACGCGGAAAATTTACAAAACCCGTGAAACTTCAAGATTTTCCTGCTTATAGCCAACTCTTGCTGGTTTTTTACCCACTGGCTCAGCTGAAACGTGACCCAGAACCGGAAAAATCTGAAGAAGACGGCCGTATTTCAAGCCAAGTGGAGCCTTAATTGTTGCCTGTTCGCAGCATTCGTCAATTTATTGAAAATGAAGAAATGCGAAAACAAGAGAGGAAGTGGCGGCAAACTAAGATTTTTCTTCATAAAACCTGTTCCGTCGTCGACGTTTGTCGAGTTCCGCCTCAGGCAAGAAAACACACGCCGCCAGTTAACGCGCTTTTATCCCCGTGCAACATTGCTCTTGGGTGCAAGATTCAAAGCCCTAGCAGACAACTGATCACTCTATGGAGCACAGATCTGAATAACGTCTGAAGTAGACAACTATAACAACTATAGTTCGTATCTGAAAATACAATTGCTTGCCATATGTTTAGTCAGCTGGATATATGGTATATGCCATCATGTGAGTTTCAAGTTTTGCTTTTTGCAGTAGTGAATGTTAAAATATGAATAAATATCATACAGAAATCGGTTTTTGTCCACATGCGGCTCCGGATTCATTAAATATTTTAATAATTTTAATGCTAAAACACAATAAATAGCATTTAAGGCTATATATGCTTCAATTTTGAAAGAAAATTGCAATGAACCTGTGCCGATTGATTCAAATATTGAAAGAAGCATGGGTTACCTACAAAAATTTCATAGGAACGAATGGTCTGTTGCACGAAAATTTTTTATGACTTTGTTTGCTTTGATTTATTTTTCTCAGACTGCTCAATTGCAAAAAATAAGAAAAAAATCAGTTCGATTTTTTTTTACAGTTATGATGTCTTGAATTTTACTGGAGACATGCATTCTATTCCTACCACAAAAATGTCCTCTTTATCTCATTAACCTCTCAAAAATAATTCTGGGAAAATTTTGAAAAATCCTCAGAACGCAAAAGTTTTACAGTACTGTACAGTATTGTGGAATGCATAGTCCAGTTGATTTTGCGCAAATAATGGAAAAGTGAACGTTTTCATACCAATCAAGTTCCTTGACTCCCATAAGAAGCACAATGCACTTCTCTCTAAAAGGCTGATGATCCATGCAATTACAACTTAATCCGCCAAAGCTTCCATTATTCTTTAATTATTTCTTTTTTTAAATTCAAACCGCTTCGTAGATACTGTACTTCATTCGAAAATTGAACCAGATTTCTCCCACTCAACCCGTACTTGTCTAGGAATGTCTCGCCATTATGCATTTTGTGTCCTGAGTTTGCATGGTTTTATTTTAAAAAGTGACTGCGATTCTCGCTAAAATTTTAAAAATAATACTTCACGTGCTTGAGTAAGATAAGAATCTGATATTCATTTGGCAAGTTACCAATTATAAAACTGTAATCCGACTTCTCCGTGAATGATTTTAAAAATACTCATCAGCGAGAAAAGAAAAATATAAATAAAATCTTGCCGAGAATGAAATTGCGAGAATTTTTACTCAAATAACGATTATTAATGCAAGATACGAATAGAAATGATCTCCCGAGTATATTTAGAATTTTTTTTG